AGATGTGGGCAAAGTAACAATAAAAGGTTAGGTAAAAATCATTAAAAATTCAGGAGGATTTTATGACTGCATTAAGATCGGTTTTTATTTCGATTTGAAAGAACCCAAACTGGAACTCCCAGAGAATGCAGTATGGGTCTGGTTTATGCTCCCCTACTTTAGTGCTGTTGGTGGACCCACATGCAGAGGAAAAAGTTTTGGACTCTCCTGCATTAGAGAACTGGTGAATAAAAGTACATGTTATGTTTTACTTTAGAGGAAATTCTTAATGTAGTTTTTTTTTTTTGCTTGAATTGCTCTTTATGTTTAATGAGTGAAATATTCATCTCAATTTTACTAGATCCAATGGCTTCTCCTGGACTTCCTTTGCATTTTTGTGCAGAAATCTAGCTTACATGGTTCATGGACTCATGCTAAAAGCTGCTGATTAATATTTGTAGAGAGGATAAACAAATTTCTCAGCAACAGAACAAAGTCTGACTGGTTAGTTAAAATCTCTGCAATAAATAAGCACAGAAAGGGACGTATAAATTCCTATGTTCTGGGATGTAAAGGAAGATACTAGTTAAATTGGTTTGCAGTGTAGATTGAGACAGGTAGGTGAGGCAGGTAATTGATGGAAAGTTTTACGGTGTATGATTCAGTCTGTTCATTTGATTTGTGTGGTAATTAGGAGCAACTGTGAACTTGTAGGAGCAGAAAATAAAGCAACTCAGGGAATAAATGAATGAAATGTGGAGACAGGTTAAAAGAGGAGAAAGAATACAGAAAGGGAGGGTAACAAAGAGGCTATTGTATATATCCCAAGTTATTACCATGAATATGGAAATAAAATATATTCCAAGTAATAGTGAGGATGAGTAATTGTGGCAAATTAATTCTCAAGCTGCTACTGGAGAGTAAGCTCCTCCACAGTTAGCATTTTCTCACATTCATCTTTGAATCTCAAGAGCTTAGCCCAGAGTTACCACATTGTATTCAATAAATAAATGTCTGTTGAATGACTTAATGACAAATAAGGGCCAAAAGATTGTGAGACATAGTCAAAGTTTCCTTAAATGTCTGGATCTTAAGCTCAAAACATGGGAAGGACTACAGCACAAAATGACTGTGATTGCTGTGTGTTGTAATTCATTAAGAGTGGTTTTTGCAATAGGCTGTGTGGGGCTGCCAGGTTTGGTAGACTCACTGTAGGGCATATGGTTCCATGCTAATCTCATCTGGAGCCGTGAACACTTCTGTACAGCTAAGGTTGGTGATCAAGGGCTCTTTCTAGACTATAAAATGGCCCAAGAAATATTGGATCATTGTACGACCACACTGATAAGCGCCTGGGGCTGAAAAAGGGCAGCCCAAACCAAATTTCAGGCTCTCTACCCAGATCTAACCTGTATGTCCCATGCCAGGGAATTCTGTGGAATAGAGTCATTCAGTCCATGGGCTTCGTTCTAAATGTTGTGGTGCCCAGTAAGTGTTTTTTGCTCACTTTTATTTTCTGAGAAGAGCTCTCAGCAATCGAAGGGCAGATCTTTTGAAATGCTAACATTTCACCTTTGATCTTGGGGAATGGATATGAAAACACACTCTGGAAAATCAGAGCTCCATAATGATTTTAATGCTTCTTCAGCAACTTAAATGGTACACAATATTTAACGAAGTGGGCTATCTCTTTTATGCCACACTGTGCAGTCTATCTTGGTTCCCTCTTTGTTTCCAGGTACAATTCCAAATTGAGTACATAGACCAATGCCTGACATAAATTAGATGCTCAATAAAAACTTGTTGAATGACTGACTAAATGCTGCTTTCTCCTCCCAAGCAGCCAGCTGACCCTGCAACATTTGAAGGACAGCTGGATAATTCTGGGCCACCTAGGAGAGCAGATTCATATTAAAACATACTAAAAACTGGGTACAGTGCAGACAGATCATTTTTCTGGAGAGATCTTTTCTTCAACTGACCCCTGAAAATTATACCGTGTTGGCTTTTATGTTTTGGCATTAAATTTACTCATAGAATTAGACTTTAGAAAAAGGAAGGGAAGATATTTAGAGAGAAAAAGAATTGAGGAGCACTTTTGGCCAAATACTGTTTGAACCAAAATTAAGTCCTTTATATAAAGCAGAGCTTTCTGGAAATACTTTTATTCAGTGATGGGATCTTGTCATCAGTTTTGGTACAATGATTCTGTGGTTGAAAAGCAAACAGCTAGCAGAAATGTCTGATAACAAACATTGATAGAAATCTTTTGAATTAGAGCATTTAAGTTCTAGGCTTCAAATACTTTCTATATTATGATATGAAATATATTAGTGAACTCTCAGTTATCCATATGTATTTCCCAAAGCTTACGTGCTGAGCAGTTTATATCTTAAAGTGTTATACACTGTAAAATTAATTGCAATTTATGGAATATGTGGAAAAATGCAGCCATTTGATTTTTCTCTTTTATTTTAAATGATATATGTAATGCCATTTAACCCAGATATTGTATACAATTCTTTTGATTCTTTTCACACAGGGAAAATTCTTCTTGCTTCAATGAAAGTTCTACTAAGCCTGTTTAAGTTTGTTCTCTTCATGTTATAAATGCTAATAAGGAGGGACAGGAACCCCAAGGTCATCACACAATAGCGAGAAGAATGAAGGGATATGTCTAAAGTGGGACCCTGTACGACATGACATAGCTGTCACCATAGAAGCTGTCTTTCCAACCAAACAGCCCAGGGCAATTTAGTCCTGAACTCCCAGTGCTGTTGCCATGGTTTCTAGACAAAGCCGACAGGGCTGCATTCCAATTATATCTGTCAGAATGACAGATAACTAAAATATTGAAAATGGGGTAATAAAATCTCAGGTCACCCAGAAGAGATGTGATAGATACGAGTGACAGAAAAGTGAGGGATGCAAGTTTATGTTTGTCCAGAAAATACCTTTGTGATTTCAAATGCAAATATATATTCTGCAAACTCTCCTGCTGTTCAATAGCAATTTTATCCATCATCCAGTTCATTATTCAAAACTAGACATCTCCTGCTTAATAGAAATGTTCTTAATAATATTTTACCCTTAAAGAATTCATGAAGTAAGAGAATTTAAGAAAAAAATCTCTTGAGCTGTGAAAATAAAAGGAATCCCTTGAATTCTGATGATAGTGCAAATATAGCAATGCTGTTTTTATCTTTCATGCTTCCAGTTGAAGGCATTACTGTAAACTTTGCACCCAGCTTTAGGCAATATCTGCTGACCAGTGGTATTTTGCCAGTGTCAGCAGAAAGTTTGCTGCTTTACTATTGGACTGTAATGAAGATACTTGCTTCTGTTTCAAGGGAGGAACAATTAGGTAGAGATCAGTGAATTCTAGAATGGTGTTGGTAGATATGGCTTGGGTGTCAGAGAATTTCATGTTTCTGCATCTCTCCAATTAAGCAGAAATGGAGCATTCTAGTCCCTAAGTGGCACTGGGTAGTTTATTTAATCTTTAAAAGTTAAAAATAATTTAATCTAAAATCTTTAAAACTTTAAATCTCAGCTTCTTCATCAGTAAACAGAATAATAACTTTCTCGCAGAGTTGTGATTTCAGATTAGATAATGCATATAAAGCACTTAGCTCAGTATCTTGTTCATACCACAGGTAAGGTAGTAGATGCTATTTCTATCATTATTAATTCTATTATTATGACCTCCTGTCATATATGACGTGACAAGTGTGCAGCTATAAGAGAGAAACCCAACTGACACAGGTAAATTCAAGGATTTTAAACCATGTATTTATAAAAAGATTAATAAAAAAAAGTAGCTTAAATGTGATATTATATGTGTTTGGAAGATGGTAAAAGAAAAACACTAATTTGATAAGTGATATTTCAAGGATTACGGCCAGCATAGTGAGGTGGAAAATTCTAGATGCCTTGAAGCCTCAACCATGTCTCCTGAGCATCCCTTTGTGGATATTTATTTTATGACACTTTGAGGACAACATATCATTTCTGTTAACAGATTGAGAATAGCTGTTAAAATTCTATAAAAATCAGGTTCATCATTTTTTATACATCAATTCAAAAAATTTAGCTGGATTCCTAAGTTTGAATTTTACTATATTCAGAATACATGTTTTTAACTCAACAAGAATTGATTCGATTTCACAATGGAAGTAATTAGGAAAAGCTGATTTATTGTACTTAATAATAGATTTCCGTGTGATAAATCTTGCAAGACTCAATCTTTCTTCTACATAAATAGTGACAATGATAAAGTAAAAAATAATTTTTTTCTGGTTTGAAAGTGCTTTTAGGAAAAAAACTTCTTGCAGGTTTGGAGTACAACCTTTTGCAGAGTTTATTTTGCTCTGTTTATATGTCTGCACATGTTGTGGTAAGGTTTTTTCATTTATAAACCCTAAAATTTGATATTCTGTCATAAACATTATATATGATAAAGCAGATAATTTTATTGAGTGTTCATGGTCAAAGCAAGTAGAGATCTGGGCAATTTCAGATAAAAATGATTAAAAATGTTCATTTACTTTGGAATTACCTAAAAATAGCTTTAATTTATAATTCATAATTTAAAATTACTCTTATCGTTGAAATTTTGGAATAACTGGTTATGATCAAAATGTACAATGCTATTTCTAGAACAAATAGAAAGGGCAAATGCGTCAATCAATTTGATTTCTTTCATCTTCATTCTTCTACCTCTGCTTTGTAAGCACTTTAGAAGGAACACGCTGGTCAGGGGAGCAGCAGGTCTGAGGGCAAATTGAGTTCTCAACCTGCAAATGGGATTTTGAGGTATTTCTATTATGTATTTTTTTTTTAATTGCATGGCTATGTCTCACTGAAATACCAGAAGGAAGTAGTTTCTCTCATCCAAAAGTTGATTTGGGAAGGTGACATGTCTATTTTTGTCACGTTATCTCACAAAACAAAATAATGACATTCTATCAGGCTCATCAAAATTATGTAGACATGGTGTGAAGAAGGTCTTGGTGACTTACCTTAAAAGAGATTTCATACTGTTCTCCTCCCCAGATTTCTAAGCCTGGATCATAGCCACCTAACTCCCAAAACCATTTTCGATTCACAGCAAAGAGACCTCCAGCCATAACAGGAGACCTGTGAAATGAATAAAATTATCTTTAAAGGACAATGAACATCAAGGGCAATGGTCTTTGGCTTGGGGAAAGAAAAGCAAGTTTAAGATATTTTCAGTGGTCAACTGCATGGAGTTTATTAGCCCTGGTTTTCTGTAAGTGGCTATAAGGTTCTCATACTGTAACTGCTCTTGGAATTCTCATGAACTTTAAACTTGGCAGTTCCAGTTCTAATGCCACTAATGCCCTGTGGAGTCACATTTGCTCTCTATCTTTATCATTGGAGAGAAATACATGATGATTGGTGACTGATATATTGAGAAATATCACTTAATTTAATGGTTTTTCCTCAAAGTAAATGGAATCTTATCCTGTCAGACAGATAAAAGAATAGAAATTGCTGCTGTAGACAGTATCTGTGATTACATCTCTCTGTATGCATTCACCATGTACAGGTCGCTTACAGGTCATATCCATTTTACAGACTATCAGATGGACAGTGGGGCTATACTAACCAACAAGAATTAGTTAATTGAGATGCTAAAGCTGGAATTTAAACTACATCTTTTCAGTTTAATTATATTATTTTTTCGGCTTTCTCTGCTTTTCCAAGAGATTTTTTTTCCATCAAAAAATAATTTTTCAATATTCCATTTATGCTAGGATGCATTGTATACATGTTGTTATATAACAAAATCATTTAAAATAATTGGGCCGTGTTCAAAAAATTTTTGTAGTTCAAACATAGTTTTTGTTTTTTGAGAGCTCACTCGGAGCTGGGCTCTTGGCTAAGAGCTTTACCCTATTCCTTTGATTAATCCTCACAGCAATCCTATAAACATCATCCTTAAGTACTGTTTGAAGAAACAGGCAGAGGGAGGTTAAAAACAATGCCCAAGGATGAAAAGTCAGTGTCAGGGGCCAGGTGATCCTCTCATTTCAAAGCCTTTGCCACACTGTTTCTCTTTCAGTGTTTGGGTGTGAAGAGAGACAACTGCATAAATATGAATATAAAAACAATTAGAGAACACCCTATGCAGAAAAAGCAAATCTATAAACACACGGTCAGCACAGTTTTTGTGATGGTTTTGAAAAAGTTTTTGAAACAAAGAATATTTATAAATAAGAGTACAGGCATTAAGTGTTGAAGACACATGTTTTAAAATATGTACAAACATATTGGACACACCAATTTTACAGACACACTGAAGACTTGGTCTGGGTAACATTTACTGTGGCACTTGAGCAACATAAACCTGAATTTAAGTATATTATATATTTCAATGACTTTGCACATAAGTTGGTCCTGGCCTACTTCAGTTTAAGAATCTTTTTTAATGTGTAGACTCTATGTAGATGGAAAGATTACATGGCAGGAAAAGGGATTGATTTTTCTCCTGGGAAAATGAGCAGGGTTTAAAAACAAAAATAGAAACAAACCAACAAAAAAACAACCTCACACAGTTTTTAAATTTTGTTTGGAAAAACTAAACAACCTAGAACCAAATTTACCCTACTTTATCCCTCTCTGAAGCAGCCTAATCTTTTTCTATTTTCCATGCACTGACTTTCAAAGGTGAATTACAACTGTAGCTGGAATGAATTAGGATTGTAGCATGTACTGGGTACAACCCACAACGAACACATTACCACAGTTTAACCTTTGCTTGTGTAGGGTTTGGGCATCAGTGATCAGAAATTCTCAATCCTGTTTGACCAGAACCTTAAGATCTTAAGTCATACAAATATATTGATCGTGCAAAAAAATGAGTCCAAAGTGCATCAACATTTTACTGTGCAGAATGAACCTCAAAACTAGAATTATCATGGACACAGAATTAACACAGATATCGGGCAAAAGAAAATCCTATAGTGAATTTTTTTTATTGTAAATCATTTTTTTGAAATATAGTATCTTGTTATTTATAATGAGTTTATTAAAAAAAACAAACAAACCATGTGGTATATTTTAGGCTAATTTTAGACAAAATAAAATAAATTCAAATGGATCTCCTTTACCTTCATTGATGTTTTTACCAAGGCCCAAATAAATTAGTGTTTCCTATATTGATTAGTGTGAATGACTGGTAGAAACAAACTTTTGATTTATGTATGTATTTACTCATGTTTGTTCGCTGATTTTTTAAACAGCGCAATCGAGACACTGTTGACATACAATGAATTACACATATTTTAAAGAGTACAGTGTGGTGAGTGTTGACTTTATTATGTATACCCCTGTTTAGCCACTGCGATACTCAAGTAAAAGAATACATTCACCATCCCCAAAGTTTCCTTGTTGTAATCCCACCCTCCTGACCCTCACTTCATCTCAGGCAACCATTGATCTGCTTTGTTACTATAGATGAGTTTGCATTTTCTATATTTTTATATGAATGGAATCATACAGTATGTACTCTTTCTGAGGGATCTGGTTTCTTACATTAGACATCCTTGAAATTCATCAATGTTGTAGCATGTATTACTAGTTCATTCTGCTTTTTAGTTGCTGAGTAGTACTCTGTTTTCAAGGACAGACCAGAGTTTGATTATCCATTCGCCTATTGATGAACAGTTGGGTTATTTCCAGTTTTGAACTATTTCAAGTAAAGCTGCTATAAATTTTGTGTACTAATCTTGGTGTGGACATATTCCTCATTTCTCCTGTGAAAATGCCTAGGAGAGGAGTGACTAGATCATATATGTTTAACCTTTAAAGAAACTGCCAGACTGTTTTCCAAAGTGTTAGTATTTCACATTGCTACCAGCAGTGCTTGAGTTCCAGCTGTTCCATCTCTTCTTCAATAGTTGATATGGACAGTCTTTTGAAATTTAGTATTATAACAGGAATGTAATAGTATATTCTTATGGCTTTATTTTTCATTTTCATAATGAGTAATGCTGTTAAGTATATTTGTGTCATTTCTCTATTTCTTCATAGGCTGGCTAGAGTTTCATCAATTTTATTGATCTGTTTAAAGAACTAGCTTTTGGTTTCATTGATTTTCCCTATTGTTTTTCTCTTTTGTATTTCATTGGTTTTCTCTTGGTTTTTATTATTTTAATTTGTCTACTTTATATTTAATTTGCTCTTCTTTTTCTAGTTACTTAAGTTGGCAGCTGAGATTATTGACTATAGACTATTCTCTTTTTCTAATATAGATATTTAGTACTATAAATTTCCCTTAAATTCTGCTGTAGCAGAATCCTACACACACACAAATGATATGTAGTATTTACATTTTCATTATGTTAAAAAAATCCATAATTTCTCTCTTTTGACCTATGTGTTATACAGGAGTTTATAATTTAGTTTCCAAATATTTGGGGATTTGTTTGAGATCTTCCAGTTATTGATTCTCATTTAATTCCATTGTTGTCAGAGAATATACGTTGTATGACTTGAATCCTTTTATAATTGACTTTTTGATGGCTCACAATATGGTCTTTCTTGGTAAATGTCCCATGTATATTTGAAAAGAATATGTATTCTGTTGCTGCTGAGTGAGTGGTCTACAAATATTTATTAGGTAAAGTTAGTTGATAGTGTTCAACTTTCCTACATTCTTACTGATTTTCTGTCTCCTTGTTCTATCAGTTATTGAGAGAAGAATTGAAATATATGACTATAATTCTCTGTTTGTTTATTTCTTGCTCTTCTATCAGTTTATTTGCTTCATGTATTTTGTAGCTCTTTTAAGAAGTGCATAAATATTTAAGATTTTTATGTTCTCTTGATAAATTGACCTCATTATCATATGAAGTACTTTTCTCATCTTTGGTAGTATTCTTGGCTCTGACATCTATTTTGACTTGATATTAATATTGCCACTTGTATTTTCTTTAGATTTGTATTATCTAAACACTAGCATTTATCTTTTTACTTTAGTTTTTAAACTAATTGTGTTTTTATAGTTAAAGTGGTTTTCTTCTAGGCAGCATATACTTGCATCTTGCTTTCTTATCTCTGCCTTTGGGTTGATTAGATCATTTTTACTATGGTTAGTCATGTGGCTATGTATAAATCTATCATCTTTGTTTTCCATTGGTCCTATTTGTTGTTTCTTTTTTCTTCCTTCTCTGTCTTCTTTTTGATTAACAATATTTTTCATGATTCCATTTAGTATTCCTTTTTGACTTAACAAAAACTCCTTGCTTTTTTATTATAGTGATTGCTATAGGGTTTATATCATACATCTTTATTTTTATCACAGTTTACTTTCCAGTGATGTTAAACACCACACATATATTATAAGGACTTCCCTTCTCCCAACATTTATACTTTTGTTGTCATACATTTTATGTTTGCATATGTTATGAATCCCACATCATATTATCTTTTTTAAGTAGTCATTTAACTTTTAAAAAGACTTAAATAATATTTCATATATGTGAAATTACAGTATGAACACAATTTCTCACTTCTTAGTTCTTTTGTTTAGATCCACATTTCCATCTGGTATTAATTTCCTTCTGCCTAAAGAACTCCCTCTAACATTTCTTGTAGTGGGAGTGTGCTTGTGATGGGGGCTTTTATCTTTTGCATATCTGAAATCATCATTTTTCATCTATACTTTTTAAAGATACTTTTGTTGGCTATTGCTATGTTCACAGCTTTTTCCTTTCAATTCTCTAAATATGTTGTGTCCTCTCTTCTCACTTGAGAAATGTGTCGTTAGTTTTATCTTTTTTCCCCCCTGTACCTAGTGAGCCTTTATTCCTCTGGCTGTTTTGAAGATCTTCTCTATATTATTGACGTTTGTTATGACATGACGTGGCATAGTTTTCTGCTTGTAATCACCCGAGTTTCTTAGACCCGTAGATACAGCTTCATGAAAGCTGACTCTGGGTAGCTCTCTCCTTGCGGTGTGCTGCCCTTGAAATTCTAGCTGCTCATTTGGGCCCAGACTCTCAGCTCCATATCAACGCAGGCTGGGCCCACCTAGGTTCTTCCTCCTTATACCACAACCTGGGAACTCTTTCAAGGTAATAAGCTGGTGCGATTGTAGGCTTCACCTTATT